AAACAGAAGTGACATAGAGGAACCGAAGTAGAGTGGAACAATAAAACAGAAATAAGTGAACGTATGTACATATATAGAGAGAGGACGATTGCAGCAAGCGTTGCCCGGGCTGCGAGATGTGAGGGCCCGCGAGAGCAAGGGTGGCTGGCGGCGAGAGGAGGGCTGTGGGAGGCCACCTTACATTAATAACAACGACAAAACATGTTATTACCATCAACAATTTCTAAATCCTATTTTGCAGAGAAAATTTCGAAATCCGACATCGAGTGTTCGTTTGGCGCCACGCTGTCTGGCGACGCTCGACGCCCTCGGATTTCTGTCGAGTTTGCAGCAGTTTGAAACTTTATTCTTAGAAAGAGGTAGATAGTTAAATAGATACATAGATAGATACAGACAGACAGATAAATGGATAACAAGAAGTACTATGACAGGGTATATGTATAATACATTTTGCATGGTAAAATGGACAGCCTGGCCTATGCAGACTATTTGAGCGAACTTTAAAAAATAACAGCAGTAGAATTAATAATAACAATATAAAGAATAATAATAACAAGAACTAAACAACAGCAGCAGTGATAATGATGATGATGATAATAATAATAATGATAATAATAATAATAATAATAATAGTAATAATAGCGATATCATTATTATCATAATTAATAATAATAATGGTAATATTAAGAATATTAAGAATATGGTAATAACAACAGTAGTAATAATACAAATAACAATGATAATGAAAACAATAATAAACAAAAAAAATAATAACAAGAACACAACAACAGCAACAGTAATAATGGCAATAATGATAATAATAATAATAATGATAATAATAATAATAATAATAATAATAGTAACGATTACAAAAAATAATGATAATAATAGCAATGATAATAGTGATAATAATAATAATAATAATAATAATAATAATGATAATAATAATGATAATGATAATATTAATAATAATAGTAATAATAATCATAAGGATGATGATACTATAAATGATAATGAAAATAATTGTTAATAATAATATCAATAATAAACAAAAATAATAGCGAGTACAATTATGGTGATGATAATAATGATAATACAAAATAATACTAAAATTGCTAATAATGTTCATTATGATTATAATGATAATAATAATAATGATAATAATAATGACAGTGATAGTAACAGAATAATGATAATAGTGATAATGAAAATTTTATTAATGATGATATTAATAATGATGGTAATATCAACAACAACAGTTTTAATAATAATAGTAATGATAGTAATAATGAAAAAAAACAATAATGATAACAATAATGAAAATACCGATACTAATAATGATGATGATGATGATGATAATAATAATAATAATAATAACAATGATAATAATGATAATAATAATAATAATAATAATAATTATAACAATAATAATAATAATAATAATGAAAATAATAATAATAATAACAATAATACAAGTGATAATAATAATGTTGATAATAGCAATGATTATAATAATAATGATAATTTTGATAATAATAATAATAATGATAACGATCATGATGATGTTGATGGTAATAATAGTAATAATAATAATAATAATAATAATGATAACGATCATGATGATGTTGATGGTAATAATAATAATAATGATAAAAAAAATAATAATGATAATAATATGGATGATAATAATAATAACAATGTTAATAACAAATATAACATTAATAATAATAATAGTAATAGTAATAATAATAATGATAATAATAATAATGATAATAATAACAATAATGATAATTATGGTGATGGAAATAATGTTAATATTGGAAAAAATATCATAATAATGATGATAATGATAATAATCTAGTCAGCCAGCTCAACTCGGCGCCGGTCCCAAGCCCGGGTAAATAGAGGGGGTTGGGGTCAGGAAGGGCATCCGCCCATAAAAATTAACCCCAAAACTTATCATGAAAGAGTCGAAATCATAGAAGTAGACCAAATGCTAGGATGCCACCCGGAAGTGGACCACAGACACATCGCCCTCACTCTGTGGACATGCGAGGGCGACCGCATCAAGAACGGGTGCGGCCAAAGAAATTAGTTCAAAATTTGCGGATTGGGATTCTCAGCGTTAGAACAATGACGGGAAGAGGTCGTGATGTGGTAAACCTCATGATGGAAAGGAAAGTGGATGTAATGTGCGTGCAAGAAACGAGATGGACAGGAAACAAGGCAAAAGAACTTGGTGAGGGATTTAGATTAATATATGGTGGAGCTGACAACGATAAAAGAAATGGTATAGGAATTATATCATCCCGAGATTTGAAGGACTTGGTTACAGAAGTGAACAGGAGAAATGATCGGATTATGTGGGTGCGGCTGGTGCTAGAGAATTTTTCAGTGAATATTTTCAGTGTATATGCGCCGCAAAGGGGATGTACAGAGGAAGAAAAGACACAATTTTGGACTGCTCTGCAAGAAGAAATGGAAAAGGTTAATGAAAGTGAAAGATGCATGGTTGGAGTGGACATGAATGGACATATTGGAAGTGGATATGATGCAATCAGCCGGATACATGGGGGAAATGTGTATGGAGATGGAAGTGAGGATGGAGAGAAGATAATTGCTTTATCCCTAGACATGGCGATCGGAAATACTCTATTTCATAAGAGAAATGAATACCTAATTACTTACCGTAGTGGAGAGAGAACAAGTCAGATAGACTTTCTCCTCTACCGCCGTAGAAACACCAAGGAGATTAAAAACTGCAAGGTAATACCGGGTGATCATGTGACGTTACAGCATCGGTTGGTAGCCATCGACCTCGCCATTGCTGTAACACGAAGGCAGAAAAGGAAAGTCACCACGGTGAGGAGAATAAAGTGGTTCAAACTGAACGATCATGACCTAAAGCAGCAGTTTCAAGACCGAGATATAAGAGATATTGACCTGGAAATCGAGGATGTCAACGAATGGTGGAACAGAGTGAGTGCAAACGTCATCGGAACTGGGAAAGAAGTGCTTGGTGAGACTAGTGGCAAAATTTGGGAAAATAGAGAAGCATGGTGGTTCAATGAAGAAATCCAGGAGAAAGTGAAAGCTAAGAAGGTTGCCAAGAAAAGATGGGAAGAAACCAAACTAGATCGAGAGAGAGAAAACTACAAAGAGTACTGTTAGGAGGCGAAAAGAGCTGTTGCTATCGCGAGAGCAAAAGCGTACGATAGTCTATATGAAGAGTTAGACACTAAAGAAGGACAGGGGAAGGTTTTCAAGTCGGCAAAGCAATGAAATAAGAATACAAAGGATATCAAGCATGTAAGACAGATGAAGGATGAAAGAGGAATAGTGTTAAGAAAGGAAAGAGAGATTTTGACGAGGTGGAAAGATTGCTTTGAGAAGTTACTGAACAAAGAAAATGAAAGGTTCCTGAGAGGAGACAGAGGACCGAACAACCAAGAGGTAGCAGAAGTGACGAGACAGGAGGTGATCACAGCACTGAAGAAGATGAAGAATGGTAAGTCGACAGGGCCAGATGGCATACCGGTTGAAGTTTGGAAGGCGCTAGATGGATATGGAGTTGACATATTGCATCAACTCATGAAGGAAAACATGGAAAAGGAAGTCATACCAGAGAAGTGGAGGGAGAGTGTCCTAATACTGATCTTTAAAGAGAAAGGAGGTATACAAAGTTGTGAAAATTATCGGCGTATTAAGTTGAAGTCCCACACCTTGAGGCTGCTGGAGAGGATCCTAGATAGCAGACTAAGACAGGTAGTCCACAAACGGAAGGCAACAACTTGGATTTATGAAGGGAGTTGGAACGCTTGACGGCATTTTCTCGCTCAGGCAAACTATGGAGAAACATCATGAAAAGCAAAAGGTGCTTCATATGGCTTTCATTGACTTAGAGAAAGCTTATGACCGGGTACCACGCCAAGAAGTATGGAGAGGATTGAGGGAAAGTCCGGAGTACAGTTGGTATAACTGACAGTTTCCATGTGCAGGTCAGCTTACATCAGGGGTCGGTACTAAGTCCACTACTATTCAACATAGTCTTTGATGTCATCACTGAAAATATGCGTGAAGATCCGCCTTGGTGTACACTCTACGCTGATGACATTGTCTTGGTGGCCGAGAGTAGAAGAACACTAGAGAGGACACTAGAAGAATGGAGAGTTGCGTTGGAAAGTATAGGAATGAGGATTAGTAGATCCACTTTACGTCGGATACGAGTGGCAACCAGCAAGCTACAATTAAGTTGAATGGCACAGATATAATGAAAAATCTGATATAAATACAATTATAAAATGATAATAATGATAATACAATGATAATAAGAATAAGAATAAAAATAAGAATAAGATTACAATGGTAATAATGATAATAATAATAATAATAATAATAATAATAGCAATAACAATGATAATAATAATGATAATAACAATGATGATAATAATAACGATAATAATAATAAGAATAAGAATAATGATAATAACAATGATAATAATGCTAATGATAATTACAAAATAATAACAATAATAATAATAATAATAACAGTGTTAATAATACTAATAATGATAAGTTTAAAATAGTAATAATGATAATGATAATAATAATTATGATAATAATAATGATAATGATAATAATAATCATAATAATTACAATGATAATAATAATAATAATAATAATAATAATAATAATAATATGATATGATAATATTAATAACAGTGATAACAAAAATGATAATGATAATAACACTGATAACAATAATGACAATGATATTATCATCATCATTATTACTGGAGAATCGTTAATCAGGAAATTCAAATAAAACAACTAGCAGAGTCGGCCTTATTATCGCTGTTGTTTATCACTGTTGTGATTGTTGTCACTGCAGAGACGTGGCTAAACCGTCTGTCTCTCCTGACGGCGGTATTGAGTCCCTTAAAGCCCAGGGTGATGCCTCTTGGCCGAACGGTATTTCTACCGCCGTGTTGCAGCTGTTG